GAGGGTTGCGATCCATTGCCGGTCACGAAAAAAGACAAAAAGGAAAAAAAAAAAAAGAACTAGAACTCAAACTAAGCCCAAAGTTAGCAGAAGGAAAGAAATAATGAAGTTGAGAGCAGAAACAAATGAAATAGTGAATAGAAAAAAATCAGTGAAACTAGGAGTTAGTTTTTTTGAAAAGATAAAAAAAATTGACAAACATTTAACTAGACTAATAAAGAAGAAAAAGAAAGAAGACACAACAATAAAGTTAGAAGTCACAGAGGAGACATTATAACTGATGCCATAGAAATAAAAATAATCACAAAAGACTACTATGAACAATTATATAACAACAAATTGGATAATCTAGAAGAAGTGGATAAATTCCTAGAAGCATAAACCTTCCAAGACAGAATCATGAAGAAATACAAAATCTGAGCAGACCTATAACTAGTAAGGAGATTGAACCAGTAATCAAAAATCTCCCAACAAAGAAATGTTTAGGACCAGATGGCTTCACTGGTTAATAATATCAAATATTTTAAAAAAGAAATTAATGCCAATCCTTCTTAAACTCTTCTAAAAAAAAATTGAAGAGAACATTTCCTAACTCATTGTATGAGACCAGCATCACCGTCATACCAAAGTCAGATAAATACTACAAGACAACTACAGGCCAATGTCCCTGATGAACATAGATATAAAAATCCTCAACAAAATACAAACAATCCAAATTCAACAGCACATTAAAAGGATCATACACCATGACCAAGTGTCATTTATCCTGGAACGCAAGGATGGTTCAATATACAATAATAATAATAATAATAATAATAATAATAATAATAATAATAATAATAATAATAATAATAATAATAATAATAATAATAATAATAATAATAATAATAATAATAATAATAATAATAATAATAATAATAATAATAATAATAATAATAATAATAATAATAATAATAATAATAATAATAATAATAATAATAATAATAATAATAATAATAATAATAATAATAATAATAATAATAATAATAATAATAATAATAATAATAATAATAATAATAATAATAATAATAATAATAATAATAATAATAATAATAATAATAATAATAATAATAATAATAATAATAATAATAATAATAATAATAATAATAATAATAATAATAATAATAATGTGATACATTACATTAACAGAATGAAGGATGAGAATCATGTAATCATCTCAATAGATGCAGAAAAAGGATTTGACAAAATTCAACATCTTCTATGATAAAACTCTCTCAACAAACTAGGAACAAAAGGCAATTACCTCAGCATAATAAAGGCCATATGTAAAAAGCCCACAGCTAACATCATACTCAGTGGTAAAAATCTAAAAGCTTTTCCAAAGATCAGGAACAAGGCAAGGATGCCCACTCTCACCACTTCTGTTAGCATAGTACTGGAATCCTAGCCAGAGCAATTAGGCAACAAAAAAATAAAAAGCATACAAATTGAAAAGGAAGAGGTAAAACTATCTCTTTTTGTAGACACCATGATCTTGTATGTAAAGGAACCAAAAAGAAAAACAAAAAAACCCAAAGACTCCACAAGACAACCCTGTTATTTGAATGAACAAATGAATTGAGTAAAGCTGCAGATTACAAAATCAACATACAAAAATCAGTTGCATTTCTACACACTAACAACAAACTATCCAATAAGGAAATTAAGAAAACAATCCCATTTACAATAGCATCAAAAAGAGGAAAATAAGGCCCGGCCCTGTGGCTCACTCGGGAGAGTACGGTGCAGGTAGCGGCAAGGCCATGGGTTTGGGTCCTACATAGGGATGGCTGGTGGGCTCACTGGCTGAGTGTGGTGCAGACCACACTGTGCCAAGGGTTGTGATCCCCTTACTAAAAAAAAAAAAAAAAAAAAAAAAAGGAAAATAGGAATAAACTAAGGAGGTAAAAGATTTTTGCTCTGGAAATTACAAAATAGTCATGAAATAAATTTTAAAAGACATAAACAAATGGAAACACCATCCTATGTTCATGTATTGTAAGCTAAGTATTGTTAAAATGCCCATACATCCAAAGCAATCTACAGATTCAATGCAAATCCTTTCAAAATTCCAATGGCTTCAGTTAAAAAAAAGAAATCCCAGTGGGATTTTTTACAGAAATAGAAAATCAACTCTAAAATTCATTTGGAACCACAAAGGACCCCGAATAGCCAAAACAATCTTGAAAAAGAAGAACGAAGAAGGAGTGTCACACTTCATGATTTCAAAATATATTGCAAAGCTGCAGTAATTAAAACAGGATAGTACTGTAATAAAGATAGACATATAGACTAATAGAGCAGAATAGAGAGCCCAGAAAAAAATCCATGCGTATATGGTCAAGTGATCTTCGACAGTGTGCCAAGGATGCATAATGAGGAAAGGTTACTCTCTTCAACAAATGCTGTTGGGAAAACTGGATATCCATATGCAAAAGAATGAAATTGAACCTTTATACCATATAGAAAATCAATGAACATGAATTAAAGTCTTAAACATGAGATCTGGAAATGTAAAACTCCTACAAGTAAACATAAGGGGAAAGTTTTGTGACATTAGGCTTAGCAATGATTTCATGGACATGGCACCAAAAGCATAGGCAACAAAAGCAAAAATAGACAAGTGGGATTATATCAAACTAAAAAACTTCTGCACAGCAAAAGAAACAATCAATATAGTAAAAAGGTAACCTATGGAATGGAAGAAAATATTTGCAAATTATATATCTGATAAAGGGGTTAATACTTAAATACATAAGGAACTCATACAACTCAATAGCAAAAACAAAACAAAACAAAGAAAACAATAACCTGATTGAAAATAGACAAGGAACTTGAATAAACATTTCTCTAAAGAAGACATAGAAATGGCCAACTGGTATATATTTTAAAAATGCTTAATATCGCTAATCATCAGGAACATGCAAATTAAAACCACAAAGAGATACCACCTCACAGCTGTTAATGTGGCTATTATCAAAAAACGAAAACAAAAGATAACAAGTGTTGGCAAGGATGAGGATAAATTGGAACCCTTGAACATTGTTGATGGGAATGTAAAATGGTGTACCATCTATGGAAAACAGTATGGAGTTTCTCTAAAAATTAAAAGTAGAACTACAAGGTGATCCAGCAATCCCTCTTCTAGGTATTTATTTAGAATAATTAAAACCAGGATCATGAAGAGATCTTAGAACTTTTCCTGTTCATTATTCACAGTAGCCAAGATGTAGAAATAACCTGAATGTTCAACAACAGATGAATAGATAAAGAAAATGTGATCTATACATACAATAGAATATTATTCAGCCTTAAAAAAGAAAGAATTCCTGCCACTTGTGATAACATGGATGAACCTTGAGGGCATTATGCTAAATTAAATAAGCCAGTCACAGAAAGACAGATACTGCATAATTCCACTTAAATGATGTATCTAAAATGGTCAAACTTGGGCTAGCAATTAGCTCAGTTGGTTAGAGCATAGATTTGTAATACTAACATCACCATTCCCTGTGCTGGCCAGCCACCAAAAAATAAAATAAATAAAATAGTCAAACTCATAGAAGCAGAGAGTAGAGTGGTAATTGACAGGAGCTGGCAGGAGGGGAAAATTGGGAGTTGCTTTTCAATGGGTATTAAGTTTCAGTTATGCAAGATGAGTAAATTCTAGAGACTTGCTACACAACACTGCCTATAGTTAACCATACTATATTGCACACTTAAAAGTTAAGAGGGTAGATCTCACGTTATGTATTCTAACTATAGCAAATTTTTTTTAAAAATAAGAAAAGGACCCAAGCAGAAATAGAAATAATACAAGGAGACAAGGAGAGGAAAATATCGGAAAAAGAGTCTTCATTGAGATAAGAAATACATATTTCATCCATTAAATAGAAATAGGATGCTGTAAAAAGGGAATATTTCAGGAATAATTAAGTGCAATAGCAGAATGGAAAACTCAGTAGAAGGATTAGAAGATAAAGTTGAAGAGATTTTGAGATTTCCCAGAACAAAAAAAAGGAAAAAAGAAAAAATAGTGAAAAGAAGAAAAGCTAAGTTAGAGGAACGGTATATGAAATCCAACATCAAATAATAGGAGTCCCAGAAAAGATAATAAAAATAGAGAAGAAAATTATCAAAGTAATAATTCAAGAACATTTTCTGAAGCTAAAGAATATGAGTTTCTAGGTTAAAAGGACCACAGTGTGCCTAGTGCAGTAGATGAAAAACACCAAGGTATGGCATTATAAAATTTCAGAACACCAGGGAATGGAATAATAGATTTATACAATTTAGTAGACTTTGGGATTAAATAGATGGAAATACATAGAAAACTAAACAAACAAACAAAAAAGACTTCCACTGACTCCAGGAAAAACAAAAGATGGTCATGGTATGCCACAAGAGTAAATAGCATTTTTAAAGCATTTTATTATTATAATGTCTGCATTGACTATCGCTTTACCTAAATATACTATATAACAGTATGGGAACAATGGGAGGGGTGAGAAAGATTGTGACAGGAAGATGTAAGTGGGACTAACCTCATTGTTCCAAGTGGGAAATCAATGAAAAGCTTAAAACTGACACCAAGTAACAGAAGTATAAGGAAGTTATTTAGTGATATGATATCTAACGAGACATAGGTATAATAACTTATACATAAAATTTGAGAGTCAGCTCACATGTATGCTGCCTGTCCCTTAGATCCATAATCTTTATGGAGAAAAAAGTCTAGGAAGGAAAGCAGGGTTGACCAGTTTGGTAAGGGCTGGGGGCCTAAGTTGGGGGAGAAAAGTAGCAAGGTAGCCTGCCACTTGCAGACTGTTATTCAAAGGTTTATTCCATCCACCCATCCCCCGCTTTTTTAGATTGGGAGTGTCCCAACTTGAAAGAACACATGCAGTGTAAGAATTCCACTCTTCTGGATACCAGTAAAGCAGTAGCGATAGAGCAGGTGCCACAGTTTTCAAACCTCTCTGCAATTTTAGGTGAGTTTTGACATTTATTTTTCTCATTTCACACAGGGAAATCCCTCATCTATGTTGGAAAAGCTAACTATTTTTTCTCTTGAATGATTTCTAAGCTAACTTTATTAATTGGGATTGCCTTTGGATATAAATAACATTTAATTGTAGCTTAAGTCCACAAGGGTTTACTTTTTTTATGACTTTTTCTTTTGAACTAATTTTAGACTTAGAGAAAAGTTGAAAAAATAGTACAAAGGTTCTCATATATATCACCCAGCTTTCCCTAATATTATCTTACATAACCTTAGTACAGTGATCAGAACCAGAATTTTAACACTGGTATCAAACTATTAACTAAACTATAAACTTTGTTCATGTTTCACCAGTTTTTCTACTGATCTCCTTTCTGTTTCCTATCCTGGATAGGATCCTACATTACATTTACTTGTTATTTTTCCTTAGTCTCCTACAGTCTGTAACAGTTCCTCAGTCTTTCATAATCTTGATTTTTTTAATATTACTGATCAATTATTTTGTAGAATGTCCCTCAGTTTGGATTTGTTGTGATGTTTTCTCATGATTGGAATGAGGTTATGCAATTTTTGGTAAGAATACCACAGAAATGATGTTGTGCCTTTATGATGTCATTATGTCTTTTTACTGGTGATGTTAAATTTTATCACTTGATTAAGGTCTTGTCTGCTGGGTTTCTTCACTGTAAAGATACTATTTTCTCTTTGTAATTAATAAATATCTGCATATATACATATATATAAAGATAGTTCTATATATGTATATGAAGATAGTTGACACTCTATAAATTATGTTTTTCCCTAAACTTTCATTCATTGATCTTTGTAACCATCAGGGGAACCAGTTGACTGTAACTTTTATTACTGTGGCATTTGTCTAATGGTGGTTTTCTATTCCACTCTTTCCTAATACATTTATTAATTGGAATCCTACTATAAAAGAAGATCTGTCTCTTTTCTGCCATTTATTGATTTATTTATTTGATTACTTATATCAGTATGGACTCATGAATATTTATTCTATGGGTTAAGATCCAATAATTTCATTTATCCATTTATTAAATTCTAGCGTATATATAAAGTAGTTTCGGAACTGTTAACCCAGATCCCTGTGAGAACACATTTACTAAATAGATTGCAGCATTTATGTACAGTTCTTTTTGTCTTTAGTATTACAGGGTCCACTCAAAATAGTATTTTCCAAAGTTACATAGGTTAGTTTTTTTTCTCTTACACCCTTCAGTGTATGTGTTGTTTGCTTGTAATATGCTATAGTTAGATTCATTTGTTACTGTTGAATCCAATTTTAAGTTCACCTGTTTTATTTGGTTTTGTTTAGGTATTCAGAGGGTGTGTGAAGGATGTGAAACATTACTATGGTTCTAAGAGTCATAGCTATAGTTGGTCTTCCATATTGGTGGGTTCTGCATCTGTAGATTCAGCTAACCACAGATCAAAAATATTCTAAAAGCAATAAAAAATGATAACAATAAAAATAGTGCAAACAAAAAAATACAATGTAACAACTATTTACATAGTATTTACATTATATTAGGTACTATAAGTAATCTCGCGATGATTTAGAGTATATGGGAGGATGTACGTAGGTTATATGCAGATACTATGCCATTTTATATAGGGAAGTTGAGTATCCATGGATTTTGGTATCTGTGGGAGTTCTGGAACCAATCCCCTTCTAATATCAAGGGATGGCTGTATACAAAAAGATATTCTCAGAAAATTATCTCTTCTTTCTCTTCTTACTGCTGTCCTTATCCCATTTTCCTTTCCATTCTAGCAGAATGGAAAACTCAGTAGAAGGATTAGAAGGTAAAGTTGAGATTTCCCAGAAAAAAAAAATGAATAAAAAAACAGGAGGAAGAAATGAGGAAAAAATTGGAGCCGGCCCGGTGGCGCACTGGATAGTGCGCCGCTTGGGAAGCGCGGCGGCGCTCCCGCCCGAGGGTTCGGATCCCACATACAGACCGGTTCCCGCTCACTGGCTGAGCGAGGCACGGGAGCAACACCGAGGGTTGCAATCCCATTGCCGGTCCCCAGTCCGGTACAGGGGCAACACTGAGGGTTGCGATCCGTTGCCAGACACGGAAAAAAGACAAAAAAATAAAAATAAAAAAAAAAGAAATGAGGAAAAAATAAAAAAGAATGAAATTTGGAGCAAGAAAGCTAAGTTAGAGGAACAGTATATTAAATTTTAAAAAGATATATTTCTATTGTAACATAGTTGATGTACATATCCGTGAGGTACAGAGTTGAATGTCAATACCTGTGTACAATATATGATGCTCAAATCAGGATAATTAATATATTCAACAATACACAATGTCACCGTTTTTTGTGGCCTTTTACCAATTCCTCCCTTCCCCCCTTCCCCCATTCTCACCTCTGGTAACCTCTGTTCTCCTTTTGAAAGTTCAACGTATTATTGTGATTGTTGTATCTTTCTTTCTTTCTTTTTTTATATGTTTATTTTTTAGCTTCCACTTATGAGTGAGGACATGCAGTATTTCTCTTTCTGTTCCTGGCCTATTTCAATTTAACATGAAATTTAACTTCAAATAATAGGAGTCCTAGAAAAAAACATTTTTTAAACTGAGGGAAGAAAATTATCAAATAATTAAAGAACATTTTCTGAAGCTAAAGAATATGAGTTTCCTGGTTAAAAGGAATAGCCCTTTCCCAGCCATCCCTTGTAGTTAATCGGTCTCTTTAGTTTCTGGTTTATTCTTCCTATATTTCTTTCATAGAAATGAGCAGATACCTATGTGTTTCCTCCTCTTTGTTACACGAAGGATAGCACACTTCATGGCTACTATTTTTCACTTAGTTTTTCCACTTACCTGTATGTACTAGAAGTCACTCCAAATGGGTTTGTAGAGATCTTCCTCATATTTTATACAGCTGCGTAGTACTCCATGATGTGGATGTACCTTTGTTTATCCAGCCATTCTCCTGTGAAGTGGGTATTTAGGTTTTTTCCCAATATTTTGCCACTACAAGTGGGAGTAAAATTATGATATATATATTTTCATATTATTGGTGGCGTCTTCAAGGTAGATTCCCAGAGGTAGGATGGCTGGGTCAAAAAGTAAGTGGATATATAGTTTTGTTGGGTATTGCCAAATTTTCCTCCAGAAGGATTATACCAGTTTGTGTACCCTCTGGCAACATATGAAAGTGCTTGTCACCCCGTATTCTTGCCAACAGAATGTTCCGTCATATTTGAAAATTTTTGCCACCCTAGTCGGTGAGAAATTGTATCTCTTTGCTATTTTAATTTTTATTTCCCTAATTATATGTGAGTTCAGATATTTTCCACAAGTTTGAGGGCCATTTTTCATTTCGTGTGTGTGTGTGTGTGTGTGTGTGTGTGTGTGTGTGTGTGTGTGTGTGTGAATTTTCTGTTAATGCCTTTCCCCCGTTTTTCTATCTGGTTTTTCCATCCTTTACTCTCAAGTTCTAAAAGTTCTTTATATATTAAGAATACTTCATATTAGCTTTTTTTGTGGTATATGTTGTGAGTATTTTCTCCCAGTTTGTCAGTGGACTTTTTGTTTATGGTATTTTTTGTCATGCAAAAAAAGTTTATTTATATTGAGCTTACTTTTCTCCCATGTCACTCCAGATCTAGTGTAGCAGCTCACTAATATTATCAAGATCTTAAGCTCTTTATATCTTTCTGCCACCAAGTGTGTTGGCTTATTTCTCCATAGTTGTAAGACAGTTGCAAAACCTCTAGGCATCACAGCCATGTTCCTGGCAGAAAGAATGAGAAAGGCAGTATTAACCACACGTGTCTCATTTTATCAGAGAGCAAAAACTTTTCTAGAAATTATCAGAAATCTATTTAGGTCTATTGGCCAGAACTGGGTCATATATCTACCTACTACCAGGGAGGCTGGGAAATCAAGTATTTTGTTTTCCTAGCCTCTGCAGTGGTAAAAAGCAGAAGAAAATGGAAAAATGTAGAAGGGAAGTAGGAATAGATGTTGTCAGCCCACCTGTTAGAGCCTGCCACTAAACAGGGGGAATAGCAGTCAAAGAATTAAACATTGGGTTAGGAGTCCTTTTTAGGAAAGTTGATAGCTGTCTTTATGGCAGTGTTTCTAACAGTTTTCGAAGTCCTTGTTTTCTGTGTTATTTTTTAGTTTGGAACTCCTTTCCCGATATAAAGTGCTCAAAGTAGCAGCCTGTCTCTTTAGCAAGTATTTCAGTTAGGTTCTTTGTCCATTGCAAATGACAAAAAAACTAACTCAAACTATATTAGATGAAAAAGGAAATTTATTACTGCATGTACCTGAAAAATCCAGCAGTAAATCAGATGCATATATGACTTGATCCAGAGTTTCAAATGATATTTGTAGGACCCAATTCCTCTCCATCTCTCAGCTCAGGATCCCTCTGTGTCATTTACACTCTCAGCTGAGTCCCTTAATATGGCAACTCTTTCTAGCTCCAGGCTTATATCCTTATAGCCTCAAATCCAATGAAAAAAAGTCCCTCTCTTTTCCAGCTATTTGAACAGTAGTCCTGGGCCTTACGCAGTGGTTTAAATTAGTCCATATGCCTATCTCCGAACCAGTCACATGGGCCAAGGAGATGCAAGGTTCTTACCTACATTGAGTTGCAGACTATGGCTGGACCATCAGAAGAAAAACCAGGAGGCTGTTGCCAGCAAAAACAAAGTCATAGATAAATGTCCACTATAGTCCTTTATGCTTTGAGAACCTTCCTCTCAAGGAACTGCTTGGGAGTCACCATTCATTTCACCTCTCCTTAACCATTGGGAGTTTTAAATTCTTACCAAATTTAAAACTTAATATTAAAACTTTGTAAGCAAAGTACTGCAGCTGCTGAAGGTTGTAACTTTTTCAGAAGGCTATTGCCATGGTTCTTTATATTCCTAACAATATTCTAGAGTACCTGAGGCAGTAAAATGTTGAGTGGGAGGCATTCTCTTGACTAATCAATCTACTAGTATGCATATCTATATATTTGGTATTGGACTAAGAATCATGAGACCTGAGTTTAAGTTCCAGGTATCCAGCTATTTTGTAACTTGACCAAATACTTTTTCTTATATGTAAAATGGGGATAATGAATTGGTGTGTTGGTGTGTAAATTGGTGTGTAAACACACCCTGACAGGTTGTTGTAAGAATCAAGTAAGATAATACATGTAAAAAGATTTCAAAAATTATAAAGAAGTATCCAAATATAAGGTGGCAGATTTCTGTATCTTATCAGATTTTGCAACACTTTTGTTTAACTTTGATATTCTGAAAATACTTTTATCTAATTTATGTCAGATATTAAAAATAATATAAAACAATAAAATTATAAAAATAAACTGCACTGCCACCATGCATAAATATTTCACCATGGGGGAAATATTTATTTTTACCTAGAGTAATTTTAGCATTTTTAATAGATTGGCATTTTTTTTTTCCTTTCCTAGGTACCTCTTCAGAAGACTATCACAAATGCCACAGAAAAACGTAAGAATTAAAAATTTTTAAAGTCGTCATGTTTTTGAAAACCCCGAATTCTAATACTTATATAACAAGTATGATTGTAAGTTCCCAAATTCAGGTGTTCATTCATTCAATATTTTTTGACGACTCACTGTGTGCCAGGACTGTTCTAATTGCTAGAGATATAGCTATGAACAAAATTGGTTAAGAACAAAATCTCTGCTGTCATCGAGTCCACATTCTAGTTGGAGGAGACAGACAATAAACAAATAAGCAGGTAAATTTATACTGTGTTATATGGTAATGAATGCTATGGAGAAAAATAAAGCAAGATAAGGGGACTAGGGAGTGTTGGGGGTAGAGATTTGCTCTTTTAAGTGTTCAGGGAAGTCATCATTGAAAAGGAAGCATTTGAGTAGAGACTTAAAAAACGAGACAGAGCCAGCTGTGTGACTCACCGGGGAAAGAGTATTCCAGGTAGAATAAACAGAGCAAGGCCCTGAGGCAAGAAGGCCTGGGCTTCTGGAGTAGAGAGAGGTAGGAAAAGAAGTAAGAGAAGAAGCAGGAGGCTAGATCACATGAGGCATTGGAGGCCAATGTAAGTTGGGGAGCCTTTGAAGATTGATATGATATGACATGATTTAGAGGAATCACCCTGTCTGCTATGATAAGAATACACTTTGGAAGGCAAGGAATTATGGAGATTACAGTTAGGAAAGTATTGCCCCAATGTAGGCAAGAGATATTGGAGCATGGGCCAGAGTGGTAAGAGCAGAGGTGGTGAGTTGTGGTCAGTTTTCGGATATGTTTTGAAAGTAGAACTAAGAAGATCTGTTGATGTACTGAATGATGATGTGTGAGAGAAAGTAGTCAAGGCTGAGTCCATAGTTTTGACTTAATAGCAGATCTGTAAAATAACATTTTACACAACTCTTTTGATATATTTTTGATCTTATGTAAGTTATTTGGTTTAAGCTGAATTAGTATATCTAAGCTTCATTTTGTAGAATCGTGACAGTCAAGCCTGTATTAATTCCCATTGGCTGTTAATAAACACCATTGCAAAATTACATGTTCACCTTAATGTACTGATTTTAATTATTTCAGTATTGTTCATTCCTTATTCAATTTCCTATGAGTCTTACTTCCTGCTATTCTGTAAAATTGACATTCTACTCTAGTCCCAGCACAATTGCCAAAATTATTTCGTCCTTTCTCTCTTAAAGCAAGAAGGCTGCAAGGCACATTTTTTAAAAAAAATTCATACCATATGAAATGCATTGTTATGGGAAAAATAATCAATACGTCTGGATTACAAATGATTGTGTCATGTTACTAATTTGAAATAGGCTTCTAATCTAAATCCTTATAGTTTTCGTAGTTTGAAAAAATCCCTGTGTATTGTGAATTACCAAAAAGGAGGTATTCTCCATGTGTAGTATTCAGTATTGAATTAGGAGTTTCAAGGGGCCGAGCCCGTGGCGCACTCGGGAGAGTGTGGCGCTGGGAGCGCAGCAGCGCTCCCGCCACGGGTTCAGATCCTATATAGGGATGACAGGTGCGCTCACAGCGCTCACTGGCTGAGTGCGGTGTGGCCGGTCTCAAAAAGGACAAAAAAAAAAAAGAATTAGGAGTTTCAACAAAGTATGCACTGATTATTTGTTCTTGTAACTCTGTAAAATCTCGAGAACACATTGACCTCTCTTGATACCTAGGAACTAATAGCTATAGCTTATTTATGTAATTATTTCTTAAAACACTGTTATTTACTAGGATTTATTACAAGCAACTCCATATCAGATAGAATTAAAAAAAATAATGATGCCAATATCTCTTGCTTTTGAGGCTCCTGCAAAAAAAAAAAAAAAAAAATGGAGTTGCCATTTAAGGTGGGGAAGACTGAAAAGAAACATATTACTGGAGGAAGTTTGGTTTGGGGCATGTAGCCTAAATGGTAGTATGTATGTGCGAGAGACAGGATATAAGTTCAAGGAGTCACAGTCTGTATCATGAACGGCCTTGATGGCTGGGATTTTTATTTTACCCTGAATATGATAAGAGCCTCTGGAAGATTTTCAGTAAGACTGATATATAATGAAATTTCTTTTAAAACACCTCAACCCTCAAAGTATTTAACGGAACTTACAGAAAATTCATACAAGTTTAAAAATAAAGATAGGAGACACCATCAAGAAAGTGAAAAGACAACCCACAGAATGGGAGAAAATATTTGCAAGTCATATATCTGATAAGGGACTTGTACCCAAAATATATAAAAAATTCTTATACCTCAACAATAAAAAGACAAATAACCCAATTTTAATATGGGCAAAAGATCTGAACAGACATTTCTCCATAGAAGATATACAAATGGGCCGGCCCAGTGGCGCACTGGAGAGTGCGCTGCTTGGGAGCACAGCGGCGCTCCCGCCGAGGGTTCGGATCCCATGTGGAGACTGGTTCCCGCTCACTGGCTGAGCGCGGTGCGGGTGCAACACCGAGGGTTGCGATCCCATTGCCGATCCCCGGTACGGGCGCGACACCGTGGGTTGTGATCCCGTTACCGGTCAGTAAAAAAAGGAAAAAAAAAAAAAAAAAAGAAGATATACAAATGGCCAATAAGCACATGAAAAGTTGCTAAATATCATTAACCATTAGGGAAATGCAAATCAAAACCACAGTGAGATACCACTTCACATCCACTAAGATGGGTGTAATCAAAAAAATAGATAATAACAAATGTTAACTTGGATGTGGAGAAATTGGAACTATTATACTTTGCTGATTGGAATTTTAAATGGTGAAGCTGCTTTGGAAACAGTTTGGCATTTCCTCAAAAGATTAAGCATGGAATTACCAAATGACCCAGCAATCAAGAGAAATGAAAATATATAACTATATGAAAACTTGTATGGAAATTTTCACAGCAACTTTATTCTTAATAGCCTTAAAGTGGAAACAGCTGAATGTTCACCCACTGATGAATGGATAGATAAAATGTGGTATAACCACACAATAGAGTATTATTCAGCAATGAAAAGGAATGAAATACTATTATAGGCTATTGTTGCCGGACTCAGGTCTGGCTGCCCACCCCCTTGAAAAAGAAAGAAAAAAACTCAGAAGTCAAACAGTTGGTGTTAGAAAAGCAGATGTATTCAGCTGAAGGAGATGGTAGGCTATCCCATCTCAAAGATTTACATTTACTGAGGGGTTTTTAAAGGAAGACTTGAGGGAATGGAATGTGGGAGGTGAAAAGCAGGAGAGCAGGAGATGTGAGTTACGAGGGGTCCATTTCTATGGGTCAGGTACAAGGTCTTGCCAAGGCCTTATCTGGTTTCAGTTCTCATCTTCTCTGTTACCTCAGGACCCTGCACGATTTTGATTTGCACCGGTGTGCTTAGCTAGTACCGAAGGTCAGCTTCAGTCATTTGGCCTTGATCATTTCTCAAAACTCTACAAGTCTCAGAGAAAGAGCTGTTAGCTTTGCAAAGTACTAATTAGCTTCTTGGCCTTCTTTTCCTACTTAGCAAGCGAGATAAGAAAGTCAGGGCATGGGAAGCAAGAGTGGAGAGAAAAAACTGTCCTTTTAAAAATCTTCCCATCTCCAAAGCCCAGGCAGCTTTAAGTCCCAATATGGCTTCAGTCCTGCTCACTGCAACACTACTACATTGATGAACCCTGTTAACATTATACTAAATGAAAGAAGCCAGCCACACAAGACCACGTATTTTATGATTCCATTCATATGAGGTGTCACACTAGGGCTAATGTTGGAATCCTACCAACATTGCCACTTGTGGAGCTACCTGACTATGACAGTTGTCGAGCTAGGGCTGGGTCTGGAGCTCACAGATCCCTCAAGCCCATTGTCCAGACTGGGTCACTAACCCCTCACACGCCAGGCTGGGTCACCGCAGGTCTATAAGCTAGGTAACAGGCAAATAGGTCCTTGGAAGCTGTAGGTTGGAAAGCATGGCCACTTGTGGTGGTGGCAGCCGCCTGAGGCAGAAGTCAGCCAGTCTGCTTAAAGAACTCTCTGAAGAATACAAGAATAGCAATAAAACTAAAAAGATACATTGGCATGTATGTGCACTAACTACACACACACACACACACACATGTGCGCAATAAAACTAAAAAGATACATTGGCATGTATGTGCACTAACTACACACACACACACACACACACACATGTGCGCACACACACACACACACACACAGTTTGTTTACAAAGAATGTGCTGAACCACACCCAACCAGACCCAAGGCGAGGGCCCTGACCAAACTATTCTATTTTCTCAACAATCCACCCCTTCAAGTCCTCACCATACAATCTGTGCATTCAGAATCTTCTGCAATGTTCCCTTAGCCAGGGTAAATGATTCTTACATTTACATATTACACATTCCATCCTAGTCCCAAAAGTCTTTAGCTTGTTGCAGCACCAACTCAAAAGTCTAAAGTCCAAAGTGTCCTCTGAGACCAAAAGCAAAAGTCCTTCCTGCTGTGAACCTGCAAAGAGTCAAAAACAAGTTTATCTACTTCCAAGATACAGTGGGACAGGTTTTGGGCACACATTCCCATTCTAGAAGGGAGAAATAGAAAGGAAAAACAGGCCCCAAACAAATCTGAATCCCAAACGGGCAAACATTAAGTACACTGGGACACCTGGACCCCTAGAGCGTAGGGCAACCTCACTCCTAAAGCTCAACCAAGTGCAGCCCATTGAGCTGCCGTGGTGCCTGCAGCTTTTCCAAGCTGATGCTGCATACTGCCAGCAGCCCCATGTTTCTGGGCTCCTGGCGGCAGCCCTGCTGTGCTGGCTTCACTAGACATTTCCTCAGTGGGGGTTCTCTGTGGGGGCTCCAACCCCACTTTTCTGCTCCACATTGCTCTGTAGATGACTTCTGCAGTGGCTCCACCCCTGCAGTAGGTCTCCACCTGAGTCCCCCAGCTTTTCCACACATCTCCTGAAATTTAGGTGGAGGCTGCCATATCTCCACTGCTCTCACATACTGCTG